CAAAACCAACATAGCTCTGCAGAGAAAACAAAGCTAAAAGGAGTGGGGAGAAAACAAAGCTAAAAGGAAGAAAGAAGCATCCTATAGCAATTAAGTAGTGAAGGGGAAAAGAGAACAAAGCCGAATACCAGGTCACTGGAAGATAAAAGAAAACCACAAAATCCTAGGACTCACAACCCCTCATCCACCACCAAAATAAATAAAAACAAAATCCCCCCTAATATTGCCTAGACCAGCCGTGGGCAAACTACGGCCCGCAGGCCGGATCTGGCCCGTTTGAAATGAATAAAACTAAAAAAAAAAAAGACCGTACCCTTTTATGTAATGATGTTTACTTTGAATTTATATTAGTTCACACAAACACTCCATCCATGCTTTTGTTCCGGCCCTCCGGTGCAGTTTAAGAACCCATTGTGGCCCTTGAGTCAAAAAGTTTGCCCACCCCTGGCCTAGACTCTGCTAGATTGACAGAAAGGGGCATGATTAAATTGAGTTAGATTAAATTATTAAATTAGGAATCTTGGAAACATTAGGGGAAGCTGTTTATGAGGTATTTGAGAACCTTTTTTATAACTAAACAATTCATTCAAGTAAAATATTTTTAAAGTAAGTTTCAATACCTCTTCAATCATATTGTTCCATCTTAAATTTCCAAAAATAGGTTCAAATGCCAAAACCCTACATCCTTCTAATTGTTTAATCAGGGCTTTATAAGCATTCTCAATCTTTTCTTCATTCTGTAAAAGGAAGACAAATCACATAAATTGTTAAAAAATATCTAATTACTTTCTAATACAGAAAAATCAGATATTGAAGACATAATTATTATATTTCTAAGCAAAAAAAAGTTTTACACTAATTATTGATCATCAACACTGCTTTTAAACCCTTCCAGCCAGCATTATTTTGTCTTTTTCAAATGAATTTTTTGTCTGGGAATTTAGTGCATTTAATTTTTTAAACAATTTTATGAAAGTGTAGTTATCATAACATAAAGTTCACACTCACTTTAAGGGTACAATCTATGGTTTTAGGTAAATGTAGAGAGTGTCTGGGAGAGCACCTGAGAAAAGATCATCAGCTGAGTCCAGCGGCTCGGCTTGGCAAAGCCATGTCCTGGACACATACCTTGCCAAAAGGCAGGAATGTTGTCAGTCCTGACCTATAGCTCAGGTGCCAGAGGGTGGGTGCCATTATCTAAGTTCAGCCAGGCACCAGGGGCGGATGCAATTATCCGGGCTCAGTGAGGCCTGACAATTACGAGAAGCCACAAGAATGAAGAATTACAGCTTGATCTTCGGTAAGCATGATTTCACATAATTTCCTTTGTCTTAAACCCTAGTAAAACTTCCTGATATCATGCTGTATATAATAAAAGCGCTGCACTAGCTCTGGGTCACTGTCGCTCCATCCGAGAACAGTGTCCCACCTGGTCCCAGCTTTACCTACTGTCTCTGTGTCTATTTCTCTTTCTCAATGCCCAGTCGCTCCTACTCAGGTCTAGTTCACTCTCTAGCTGTGCTGGATGCAGCTGGAGAACCGCCATAGGTAAATGTACAGAATTGTGCAACCATAACTATAATCTAATTTTACAACATTTCCAAAATCTCAAAAAGAAACACTGTGCTCATTCTATTTTATTATGAAAAATTTCAAACATACACATAAGTAGAGAATAGCATAACCTCCTCCCAAGTACCTATCATTCAGCAAAGGCCCTTAGCAACATACATTGCACTTTTATTTGCATATCACACAGTCTTCAAATTGATAAATAATCTCCTTAAGGTGATTGTACAGTGGTCGGCAAACTGTGGCTCGTCAAAAATAAAATGCGGCTCTTTGGCCCCTTGAGTGTGGCTCAGTTGGTTGAGCATAGTCTCATGCACCAAAAAGTCACTGGTTCGATTCCTGGTCAGGGCACATGCCTGGGATTGTGGGCTCGATCCCCAGTAGGGGGTGTACAGGGGGTAGCCAATTGATGTTTCTCTCTCACATTGGTGTTTCTCTCTCTCTACCTCACCCTTCCACTCTTTCTAAAATTAATAAGATATTTTTAAAATTCCTCTTAAAGAGAGATTGGGAAGAATATTGATAGGGCACTCTTCAAACACAGATTCAGAAATTGCTCTAACAGAATAAAATGAGATAAATTGATTCTAGGTCCTCCTCCTAATATAAAAATGAATCCCAGGACTGTTCAGCTAACAGTAAACAACTAGAGTTTGATGACTGGAGTTCTAACTAAAGCAAAATAAACGATCTTATCAGATTTTATGATAACCAGCTGGAGGTCTTCAAAACCATGAGGGAGTGTGTGACACTATCTTCAAAGAGTAAAAAATGTTAGCTGACTCAAAAATCATATAGAATTATCTTCATTTTAAAAATTCACTCTACATGGTGAAAATTAAACAGAAATTAGATTTCTTTATAAAATCAGTATGTATTTTTGACCCAAGAGTTCAATATAGTAATTGTCAAATACACCAATACAACAAAATAATAAGATCATGGAATCAAAATCCTAAATGCTTATTAATCTTGTTAATGATTTAATGTTAAGAAATAAACTTATTTCAATTATTTTCCTTCTTCATCAACCTTCTCCATGGTTTTCTCATTAAAAGCTGCTGTTTTTAATATCATTTTATCAGTATGTCTCAGCAACAGAGGCATATATTTTACCTCCTGTTTAATGCATTTCTGACCTTCATACCACACAGTAATTAAACAAATAAAGGCTGGAGTCAGACTGCCTCTTTTCAAATCCATACTCCGTTATTAATTTGGTATTGATGATGAGCAGATTGCTTATTCAGGTATCTACTTCCTTATCTGCAAAATAGATGATACTAACACCTACCTTGCAGGGTTGTTGTGAGGGTTAAATAAAATGACTCATGGGATGAACCAAGCACTATTGTTATGACAGGAAATGCTCAATAAATGACTGTACTTTCATCATCATTATTATTATTAATGCTCAATACCTCTCTGTTAAATCTATGATAATTTCCATAGAAGAGGTAAAAATAGAACTGAGTCAAATAATTTAGAAAATTATTTAAAATTATAGAAGAAATTTTGATATAAATTACCTGCTTGAAAAACGTTTGTTGTCTGTGCCTGCTTAGCATAAAGTACGCATAAAGTCGAAGAACGTCAGATGCTTGTCCTGAGGAAAGCACAGCATTGACCTTCATTGACCAAGACTGAATGATTAAAAAGTTGAAAAGATGTGTTTGTAGATCGTTCAAGCCTTCATCTGCAACTATCAGGAAATATGGGTAACTCTCTTCCAAAAAATTTTTCCATTCTTGTGATAAGCATCCAGAAAATTGTGTTCGAACATCAATGGTGTTATTATGCTGAAGATGAAGAATTAAAGCAGTTCTCAAAGAAAGAAGTTCAGGGAAGTTGAAATATGCATACTCAGCATCCTGTGTGGGAGGGGTAAAGTACATTATTTTGAAATTATCATTTAGTAGTTTACCAGTTTAGTTAACACATATCACTAAAGTTATTAAAGGAATAGGTTCCAACACACTTCTGCTCTGTTTAAGAGACCTTTAAACCTTGACTGCCATCAAGCAGTCATCAATATTAAAAAAAAATCTAACAATAGTGTGGACTGCAAAATGATATTGAACAGACATACACCAAACTCCTTCAGGGATAGGATGAGGAAGGGGTGGTAGTGGTTATACATATCTGCATTTGAATTGTTAAAATTTTACGATTAATTGTATTCATTATAAAAGAGCAGACCAAATATATTCCCTTGGAGGTAGGTACTATAGAGCAAATAATAAAAAAAGCAGTGTTAGTGAGTTTTGACATTCTTTTGGGATCAAATACATTGACTACTGAGTTTTGAAGACAGAAGTTAGAAGTCTAGAATCCAGAGATCCATTATTAGACCACTGTTTAGGACCTTTCTCATCCTCTTTCATGATCCTGCATGTTCTTACAACAAAGTTCCATTATTGTGAATAATAAACAATTTTTTGTAACTTCTGAATACTGTGATTATGGGTAGTTGTTTTCTGTTCTTCCTTTTAGCTTTTCTAAATATTTATAGATACATTTCAATTTGTAATAAGAAAATACTTTTATAATAGAAATTTTAGTTTTAATTTAGTTCTCAAATCATAGAAAAGGATTCAACTGTCACATGGTACCTTGAAGAAAACTATGGCAAACTGTCCTCCTTTACTAATAATATCCACAAGGTAGCGTTCAACCAAATAGAAGAAATGGAGCTCCTGCCCCTGCTTTAATGATTCCTCACATATGAACATGACAAGCAATGAATCTCCATCAATGAGAAAAAATTCAGATTCAACAAAATCGTTGAATATACTGGAATAGCTAAAATAAAAAGAGTTAAAACAAAAGTTAGATATAAATTAAATAAAGTCCAAAATAAAAAGGCAGCAGCCTGTTATTAGCTCATTATCACTATCATCAATAGCTGAATTTACTGAGTAACCATTCATGTCAGTCTCAATGCTAAAACATTTCAAATATACCCATATACATGACTATCTTTCATAAAAAGAAGGCAGGATCAGTCCATTCTATAGAGAAGGGAACTTAGGCACAAAATGATAGGGAAGATTATCTAAAGCCATATGGCAAAATCTGGATTGGACTCGGGAATTTAACACCCATGTTTTGAATATGGACCTGTATCATATTTTCTTCCTGTTTAATCAATTTCATTCCTTTATAAAACAATGGGTTCATTGACAGTTGTAGACAATGAATGCAAGAAAAAAATGTTCCCATTCACCATCAACCAGCTCTAAAAGTTGTGTTAAATAATCATATATACAACTATATACATATTTAATGCACTGTAATATATACTAAGATAGATGATGAGAGATAAATAGAGATCACTTTAAGGTCAAATAGATATATAGAAATAGGACATAGAATTTTATATCTCTTTTATTACCACAATATTACTCACTCAGCTTTTGGCATTTCACTTTCCTCTAAAAACATCCTATATTTTTCTAAACCTAAAATAAAGAAAAAGAAAATGGGTTATTTTCAGTCAGTCTTTTTTTCCAAAGAAAAGAGAAATAAAACTTTTAAAATCTAATAAAACTGTACAACATACAGTTTTAGAAATTATTTCAGAAATTATTTCAGAAATTATGAATATTTTAAATTGAAAATTACCCATCCTTGCTGCTACCTGCGCCTCCAACTTGAACTGGAAAATATTAAATATAGCAAAAATTCTTTACTCGGGTACCTCTAAGTGGCAGTTATTAATGAAAATGGCAGACCTACAAGAAAGAGAAGAAAAGTTAGAAATATATTTACTCCATTAACAAATAGTATTGAATGACTACTGTGTGCTAAACAAAACATAGGACACTGGAAATACAAGAACGGACCAAAGTCAACATGCTGTCAGTTCTCATGAAGCTTAAAATCTCTCAGGAAAGACAAATATTAATCAGAGAATCATATAAAGAGTGGAAAATTAAAAATGTGACAAAATCAAAGAGGTTGGAGGAAGCTACCCCAAAGAAGTAATGCTTAGTCTGACTTCTGAGGGATCAAAAAAGATGCAAGGACTGTAGCATTCCAGGCAAAGAGAATACCTGAATACCATGTGCAAAAGCCCTGTGGCATGAAAAAGTGTGGATGGAACTAGATACTGAAAAGGAGCCAGCCAGAATGGAGTGGAGAAAGTGAGGGAAGAGCAAGCAGTGCTAGGGAGGACTATAGAAATATAAGGACACTCAAAGCCTTTGAGGGCATGTTTCTGATCCTAAAATGCACTGATAGATTTTAAGCAGATAGTATTATAACTGGTTTTGCCTATTGAAAGATTACACTGGCTACAGTATAGAGACTAGACAGGATGAAAGCAAAGATCCAGTCAGTAGAGAGAAAACCATTGTTAGAAAAATCATGACAGTAGTTTGATCTAATAGAGCTTGGTGGTTGTTTGAAGCACATACTGATAGTAAATATTTAGCAGGTGAGTTTGACAAGATCTGATAAGGAATCAGGTATGAACAGAGAAGAGGGGATAGTGAACGTTGGCAAGAATAACTCCCTAGGATTCTACCTAATGCAACAGGATGAATAAGTAGGCCATTCCGTAGGCAATAAACCCTGGAAATAGGTCACATTTCAGGGAAATATCATTTGTGGTCAATGAGAGTTTGACTTGCTTTTGAGCCTTACCACAGAAATGTCATGTAAGAAAATATACAGTACAAGAACTCAAATACAAGGTCTGGGCTAGACCTGAGTATGTGAATAATTTGAGTACTACGATAAGTAAAGTCAGTGTTGAACATAAAGATACAGCATCATTCACGAAAAGAAAATGACTGAAAATCCAGTTTTGCAGACCACTAATATTTAATAAATGTTGAGAGAGGAGAAACATCTGCAAAGGTAACTAAGAAAAACACTACAACAATGGCAGAAGAAAATGCACTTGAGCATTTTGTCACAGTAAACAAATATTGAGACATTTCTCAAATATGCATATAGTGTGTTAGGGCTGTGAAACTCCGATGACAGATGATAGGTAGGTAGGTAGGTAGGTAAGTAGGTAGGTAGATAGATAGATAGATAGATAGATAGATAGATAGGTATTATATGACATTAAGGAATATATAATGGTGAGATACACATTAATATTAAATATTAAAATAATAATGCAGTGAAGCATGTGGCTGTAAAAATGAGTATGGCTGTAAAAATGAGTACATTTGAAGAAAGAAGAAATTACTATGGGCTGGAATATTTAGGAGACAACAGGACAGGGGCAGAAGCATGTTTTCTCACTCATCCAGTTATTCCATCTTTTTTCAAAGACATCTAGAGCATCTACTCATCACCAAGCATTGTACTTGCTGCAATATATCAAAATATGCATAAAATATGGTCCCCTTATGTTACCATCTGGTAAGGGTTTAAAGAGAATTAAATCAAACAGTATAATGTATAGTGGGGCCTTGACTTACGAGTTTAATTCGTTCCGAGACCGAGCTCATTAACTCGAATTACTCTGTCAACTCAATGCAAAAAATCGGCTCCCCCTTACGTTACCATCTGGTAAGGGTTTAAAGAGAATTAAATCAAACAGTATAATGTAATGTGTGGTCAAGCAGAAATGGCCTAAGAAGCCATTAGAGAACTGAAAAGGAGTTCTTTAATCAACTAGAGTGATCAGGGTTCTGTGTTCTGAGGTTTCAAGCACACATTGAAAAGATGATGAAAAATTTTAGCATGTTGGAGAAGGTAAGAGATATAGAAGATCACATTCCATGTAGCACAGCAGCACTGGTTTAATGTACAGAGATGTGAAACATGACAAGTTTGAGTTTCCACAAGTCATTCTACATGGCATAACACAGGGTAACCTGATTGTAGATGAAAATCAGGTATGGACCAGATGATAAGATCTTCTGCCCAAGGAAGAAGTTTAGGCATTTCCCCAAAACTCTCTGCCATACAGTTCATGCAATCCTCAACCTCACTGACTGCACATTTGCCACACTGTCTTTCTTCAGTTCTGCAAGTGATATGTGCTCAAACGGAAAAGAAAAGTCAGTGAGAACCAAGTAGACAAGAGAAACTTAACCCCAAATATCTTACAAAAGGGAAACTTCAGAAAAGATAGCGTCAGATCCTACAAGATGAAATAAGTCCCAGATGTTCAGTGTCCTTAATGTCTCAGGAATTTTTTATGGTACTCCTAGGACAAAATAAATATCTAATAGTTCATTTATTAAGTAGTTAGCTCCAAACCAATTAGTAGGTCCTAACAACCTCCTCTGAAAATAGATAATACACATAAATTGAGAGAAATAATAGTTTTTTACAATTAAATAACAATTACTAATGAAATGTGTGTGCCTGTTGGACACTGTACAACTTTTCAACAATGGCCATAATGGCAGAATAAAACTCTCCTTAATTTAACAATTAAGGCCTCCTGCCTACTCTCTTCTCCCATATCCTACAGAAAACTTCCTCTATTAAATTTTACCCCAAATTTATACCTGCCTTAACATTTACATAGAATTTACAATATGCCCAGCTCACTTTTATTTAAGGAAGTGGCATGATAAGAAAAATAAAGCCAGCTACCTCCATAATAACCTCTGAATGAATATGCATTAAAAAATTAGAATTATGCTCATCTGGCATGGCTCTGTGGTTGAGCATCGACCTATGAATCAGGAGGTCACCGTTCAATTCCATGGTCAGGGCACATGCCAGGGTTGCAGGCTCGATACCCAGTGTGGGGTATGCATGAGGCAGCCAATCAATGATTCTCTCTCATAATTTTTTTAAAAATATATGTTTATTTCAGAGAGGAAGGGAGAGGGAGAAAGAGAAAGAAACATCAATGATGAGAGGGATTCATTGATTGGCTGTCTTCTGCACTTCCCACATTGGGGATGAAGCCAACAACCAGGGCATGTGCCCTGACCACAGAATCTAACCATGACCTCCTGGTTCACAGGTCAATGCTCAACCACTTAGCCACACGAGCCGGCAGGAAAATAATTTTTTTTTTCCCCTAGGGAGAAACTTTTCATGGCTCCTATTTGTAAGAAGTGCCTCGAGGGGGGAAGGGCGTGAGTGTCCCATGAGTACTCATTAATTGCACTCTTTTGTTGCCTTCTCTTGTCTATGTCCGTTATGTTGTTTGTCATTAGAAAGAAAATAAAAGATTTAATAAGGAGAGAAATTCAAATCTCTCCAACACCATGGAATATATTCTTTGGTTACTAATCAGAAGTTTCTAAAAGACAAAATAATCTAAGAGAATCCTAAAATAAACTTTGGTCATTGAACAGATGCTTTTCTTATTATTTGTCCTACCTGAAACCTGACAAGATATTTCAAAGAATTTATTAACTCTATGATCAGAAATTTGGCAAGCTTAGAAGTCAAGTAAAATGTTTTAAGCCTTAGTAGTTTTCAAGGTCTTTCTGATATTAACCAGAAATGTAAACACAGGCCACCACTGCCCAAGACTAAATGAACCAAAGGGAAAGAAGCACAAGTGTCTGGAAAGCCTTCCCCTCAGTCTCCTTAAAAAAATGTTTCTCAAGGACGAAAGCAAATCTTGCCACCTGAATGAATATATTTAACTTGTTACAACTATAGTAAGTTAATGGATTTTGCCTTATTTTATTTGTCTCATGGCTAAAAAGTGCTTAATTAAAACTACCAGGGCTCTAGTTGTCTGTCTATATATATATATGTTGTTTACTTCCAGAGAATGAATAAACCTATATATATAAAGAGCCAGGGTCATAACAAACAAAACGACCGAAGGCTTGACCGAGCGAGCGGGCTGAACTGCTGACCTCTTGGAGAGAGAGGTGGGGCCGATCAGCAGTGGCAGTGGCTGCTGGCTAGGCCTGGAGAGAGACGCAGGATGATCAGACCCTGCTTCTCTCTCCAGGCCTCGCCAGCAGTCAAGCCTCTCTCTCTCTCCCAGAGGTCAGCAGTTCAGCCCACTCACCAGCAGCCTGGGATGGCTGCTGATCAGCCCCACCTATATGATCAGGCCCAGAGATAGCCCCGGAGATAGCCCCGGAGATGCTAACTGGCATAGAAACCAACCAATCAGAACCAAATCTGGGTGAATTGCAAGGAGCCAGTGGCTGCCTAGAAGGCAGAGCTTTTGATGCTGATTGGCATAGAAACCGACCAATTGGAACCTACTATGGGTGAACTGTGAAGGCAGAACCTAAGGTGAGGGCTGAGAAGGGGTTTTAAGGGCAACAGCTGTTTGGTGTAAGGTGTAAGAAAGTGATTCCATTTTTTAATGACCGGTTTGGCAGTGTAGTGCATATGGCTGGCTATCAGTCCAGATATAGGGTTATGTATTTTTGTTTGCCAAGAGCATCTCCTCCTGCTGAAAAAGGCTTCCCCCCATTTAAGCAATCCTATCCTAGATAATCTATCTATACTAATAAAAGGGTAATATGCTAATTAGACCAGGTTGACTGGCCATCTTCCCGACGTCCGACTTCCTTCTGGACAAAGCCACGGTGGTGGGGGCTGAGGCAGAGGCAGTTAGGGGTGATCAGGCCAGCAGGGGAGGGCAGTTGGGGTCGGGATTAGGCCATCAGGGGAGGGCAGTTAGGGGCTTAGGCAGGCAGAGGCAGTTAGGGGCAATCAGGCCGGCAGGGGAAAGCAGTTAGGGATGAGATCAGGCCGGCAGGGGGGCAAGGTAGGGGTGATCAGGCTGGCAGGCAGAGGGGTTAGGGGCAATCAGGCAGGCAGGCAGGTGAGT